TTTTACTTGAGCCAAAGCACGACAGTACGGTACAGGCTAGCTACATCTTCCTACAACGACAGTAAACGGTTTAGGGTTTAGGGTGTAGGGCTTAGGGCTTAGAGTTTAGGGTCCTAAACCCTTAACCAAAGTCACACCGAGGTCTTCGACCCGCCATCTTCAGTCTACACCGCAAACACTATGACTGACCTCTGGAAGCCAAATCCGATCAGCCTAACCCTCTAACTTCTAAGCCCTGGATCCTTACCCCTGAACCTTTATACCCCCTGACCCTGAACCCTAAACCCAAAAATGCTGAACTGTAAGTCCAAGCCGTCCAAGCTGGCAGCTGGGAAAACCCTAAACCCTAAACCCCAAATCCTAAAACCCTCAACCCTAAACCCCAAATCCTAAAACCCTCAACCCAAAACCCTAAACCCTAAACCCTCAACCCTAAACCCTCAACCCTTATGCAAAGCGCCTCGTACTCGAGTGCAGAAAGCTTTGCGGATTTCGAGGCTAGTTCGCTCCACCCTTCCGAAAACGGCTTGTCCTTGACTTGACGGCTTAGGGTTTAGGGAACCCGAAGAAGTCGGTCTCGGTTTTTGGGTTTTAGGGTTTAGGGTTTAGGGTTTTAGGGCCTAGGGCAAAAAGTTTAGGGTTTAGGGTTTTAGGGTTTATAGACCCTACACCCTATAGACTCTGTGTATCTAGCTTGGTTTATGAGCCTGGTGATCACGACAGTTCTTCTCATTGGACAAGGTCTGGCGGATAAGCTTTGGGGGTTCACTAAACCCTAAACCCTAAACCCTGAACCCCAAACCCCAAACCCCAAACCCTAAACCCTAAACCCTAAACCCTAAACCCTAAACCCTAATCCGAAAGCTCTCCTGCTTGTGGAGGTGGAAGAGGAGGCCGTCGCAACCCGTTTTCTGGGCCAGCTCCATCTCGGCTTCAACTTGGTGGCAGAGCGCGGGATTCTAGGGATTTAGGGAACGGTTTAGGGTTTAGGGTTTAGGGGAAATTGACCCAAACCCTAAACCGTAAACCCTAAAACCCTAAACCCCTAAAGCCTAAACCCAAAACCCCTAAAGCCTTAAACCACTAAGTTCTAGGGATTGCCTAGATGCCGGAAGCCTGTACACGCCCTTAACTTTAAGGGCTTTGGGCCTAGCCTTTCCCTAAACACCTTAAAGCCTACGACCCGACGTCCCGGCCTGGCCTGAGGCCTAGACCCTGCGAGGTCTCTGGCATACGACTTCGGGTTTCGGGTTTAGGGGTTCAGGGTTTAGGGTTTAGGGTTCAGGGTTTGGGGCTTAGGGTTCAGGGTTTAGGGTTCAGGGTTTAGGGTTTAGGGTTTACGACTTAGGGTGTTTTGCGATTTGAACGAAGCGTGAAAACCTTGACTGAGCCCCAAACCCTAGACCTCAGGCCCTAAACCTTGAACCCTACTCCGTACCCTAAACCCTAAACGCTGCTGAACCCCAAACCCCAAATGCCAAACGTCCTACACCGCCCATGGATGTTGTGAACCTCTGCAGACGGCACCGACAGGTCCAAAAGCTCGAGCTTGCCATGTTTCACCTCCCATTGGGCTACAGAGTTCAGGGCTTAGAGGGTTTAGGGCTGAGATTTTAGAGTTTAGGCTTCCAGGGTTCCAGGCTTGAAAGGCTTGTCACATGAACAAGGCGAAACCAACAACACGAAACAAACACAACACAAACAACCTTAACCGAACCGGACCAAACCAAACCACACCAAACCACACCAATCACACCAACCACACCAACCACACCAACAAACAAAGCAAACAACGAGCCATCTTGAACGAGAAATTAAAACATGTTTAGCCTTCTGCCCACTATCTACCTGAATGTGTAATCGCTTAAATAAATGCATTAAACATTCATAAACTAGTTAAACAGAGGAAGAAATAAGGGACAGCCGGAAGGAGGAAAGTTTGGCTGTTCAAGCGAAAGCTCAAATCTCGATTGAGATCTTTAACTGCAGCCTTCGCGCAGAAGCAGTTCAATGACTGTTCCTCAAGGTTACGCTGCGCTCACGAATGCTACAGAGTCGAAACATGAAGATGGGCCTGGTAAGGCGAAAACAACCGAGGTTTCCGGCCAAGCCGGTGATGAGCCGTGAGAGGGGCCATCTATTGCAAGTTCACATTCAAACCTACAGACGCACAAAGCCCTCATCCTAAACCCTACACCCTAAACACGACACCCTAAACCCTAAACCCTAAACACCCTAAACCCTAAACCCTAAACCCTAAACCCTAAACCCTAAACACCCTAAACACCCTAAACACCCTAAACTCTAAACCAGCCTTGCCGACGGCGGCACGGAGCTCTTCCACGCCCACAGTGCCACCGGTCCCGTTGAGCTCCGCACCAAGGTATTCGAGTGTGGGATCATCCTCTCTTAGTATGGATATAGCGGATATTTTTTAATAAATAGTCTAATGAAAGATTATTTTTTAATAAATAGTCTAATGAAAGATACCGGAACTTATTAAACAGAACATATGCGCTATCGTTTGGTAGGTGTTGGTAATCTTAATAAGAAGTGCAATGAGCCAAAGTGCAAGTAGGCCTGGTCGAACTACTACCTGACTGCTATGTGACAACTAGTTATGGGCACCTATTTATGCCCAAACTACACACATGATGACTGCACAAGGCAGCACAACAACAGCTCTACCACTAGGTGCATTACATGGTGATTGGTACATCCTACAGGGCCTCAGGGGTCCTACTATTGTAACTGTGAGACCCTTTATGATGCTTTCTATGGAATGCTTTAAAGTAATGGGACATCTTCAACCTTTCAAAGGGGAAGACATGTAATTCATAACATAACAGTAACACACGCGACAGCGACAGAGAGTGCGACAAGGACTTTAAAGAAAATGTTAAGCGATAGCTTACTAGTGAATAAGGTAGATTGGGAAACAATGCTAAAACCAGCTTTGAATAAGTATAACAGTAAGATGGTTCATAGCACCACGGGATTAGTTTCGAACGACGCACCTAAAGATGAAAATCTAACAACAGTAACAGGAAATTCAGCAATGAAGGAAAAGTATTTAAGAACCTATCCTTATATTGAAGCAGGGGATGATGTCAGAATTCATCCATACAGAACGCAAAGCAGAGGCAGTCAACGACATATTTGTTGAAGACACAACCGACAACATAACCTCGTTTAAATCTTGTCACCAATGCATGGAACTGTATGAATGTGAAAGGGATATTGAAAAACCAGTTTGGGAAGACTCCGACATTACAAGCAGACAGATTAATTGTGTAATCAATGTATTAAAGAAACTAGATCGTCATTAACATCATTTGTGGCAAATTAGGAGCAATACAAAAGCAAAAAGCATGCTTGAAACACGTTGTTGATGATTCTGAAGGTATTATGAAAGCGATAATGAAGAAATACATTAATGAAAGTCACCATATCTAGACAATTGACAGATTATAAGTATTTTGGGAGGTTGGAAGACTTGATATATTCAATAGGATTCAATAGGCTTAATCCAGATTCACGTCGTTTAGCTGGTTGCTGTAGGAGACAAGCAGAAGTAATAACTGATATTCTTAACGAGTTGATTCTTGCATATCTTAAAGGCGGAGTGATACTGAGGGGAAAGATACTTTACGGATGGGATTAATCATTATAAGATATGCTCCAAATGTAAGCAAAGCAGACCGTTAGACAGTTCGACTGCTTTGAAGAAGAAAAGAAGTTCTGTTGTCACTGTCCAAACCATCAACGAGCATATAGGTAAAGGCATAAAGATAAAGTAAGCGATTATAACACAACTTTCAATCAATAACATGAGGAGCAAGTGGTAGAACAAATCGAAGACTGGAACAACACATTTACTGACTCTTTCTATTGTAAAAGTCCTGTTTCGAATCGTGTTATGGCATTACATGTCGAAACAAACTTTTTTGTCAAGAATATGGCGAAATTTCACAAAACCAACAACTAAAACGACCATCGTCCCAGATTGTAATATGATTTTTTAGGTATTCTTTATAATAGTTTACTATGGTATGCCCACCCGCTACGCTCCCAACCCCGTTTATCAACAATGAACAACCGATAGTCTTTGTGCTGGAAAGAGGAGGCGAGGTTAAGATCTGCTTTCATGAAAATTTAGGAATACGTTACAAAAATGAGAGGGGAGGACACCAGAAAACGAGAGAGAGGATTTTAATTTGTACTAATTATGAAAATGAATGCAGAGGAAATACCGAAGAAAACAAGATCGGGAAACAGCCTACTTAAATGAAATGTCGCTAAGAAAATGAAGGAGGCGACGATGAGGAGGATGAGAAAAATCAAGAAATGAAAAGAAATGAATTAAACAAAAACTGATGGAACGTATGAGATGAAGATAATGAGTGGAATGAGACAGGAAGACCGGAGACAGAACGAAGGAGGGCAGGCAGGACACAGGAAGGAGGGCAGGACCCAAAAACCTTCCAGACACAGACCCCAGCACAGGTCGGACACAGACCCCACACGCCCTATTTTGCCAATACCCCCACCCTTCCAATCCTACCCCAAGCCCGTGAAGGGTTTAGGGTCTAGGGCTTCGGGTTTATCATGTTCAGCAGGTCATAGCTCCTCTTGGTTCAAGTCGGCCAGGCAGCCGTCGAAGCCCTCAATTGCCGCTTGGCGGCAAACGCCAACTGACAACATCGCAGTCGCCCACTCCTCGGTTTGAGCTTAGGGCTTCGGGTCTAAGCGGTTAACCTCCGATTACCAACAAAGGTCCCCACACCCGGATGACTATGCCTGCACTAAACTAATTCATGAATTTACGAACTCAGCTATATTTTAACTGAAGTAATCCGACGTGATGAAGATCATACGGGAGCCGGAGGCCGTGAAACTGTGTGCACCAGCTCGCTACTCAAGCTACTACTTAGAAGTGGAGGAGGAGGAGGAGGAGGAGGAGATGCCCGGCTCTTCAGGCAGGGCTCGGCCCGGGACACGATTGTTTCGGGACCAATACCCTCGATCTCCTCAATCGACTCCGCCGTGACAGGCTTCGCTGGGCCGTCAACCTCCTGACTACCTCAGCTGGCCAGCTGAGGGCTGAGGGTTCAGGCTGAGGATAGTCTCACTTTGGAGTTCAGGTAGGTTTTATAAAGGATATCCAGCAATGAAAAAAGCATGTGGTTTAGGGTTTTGGGTGTAGGGTTTAATCGGGTGTAGGGTTTAATCTGTTGATCACAACAAAGCTTAAAGCTTGACCATTGGCCAACTCAGCTTCTACCCGGTTTATCATCGTTCTCATCGTCGTCGTGCTCACCATCGCTGTTTTTGAAGCCTCAGCTATCCCGAAACTCCAAACCCTTCATCTGAAACCCTAGACCAACGCATCATAACACGTCTTGGCACGACCACATGTCCGCTGGCCTCTAAACTGACAAAAGACAAGCGCAAGTTGGTGTCGGGTGTGTCCAACTTGTACCGACAATGAAGGAAAATTCGGCTGGTTCGTGGGATCGGCAATGCGAACCCCCACATGGATGCAAAATGCAACATAACCGACCCGTAACAACTCCCTGGCGAAATGGTCCCGCCCCCACCCCCTGGCCGCAGGAGCTACAACTACATAATAAATATGTCCTTGCACACACTTGCTCCATACTGTGCCTCCCTGTCCGGACGGAGCATCACACCACTTCATGATTCAGCTTCCCCCTTCAACCCCCTCACCCAGACGCAGGGGAGCTGATCGAAACCAAAAACCAAGAAAGGCCATGCGAGCTACAGTAAGCTTTCCGATTCACAAGCTCATCTGCACCTGCAACTGAGACAAGTAAGATCTGAACCCAGGGCGTCTCCCAAGCCAAAGCCGTCCGCAAGCATCCTCTTCATGGTGTCTGGAGTAGAAGATCCGAAGATGTACTCGATAAACTCGTCGGTCGTGAGCTTGCCGTTTCCATCCTTGTCCAAAGACTCGAAGAGAGTCCTACAATCATCCTCACTTAGGCCAAGCTTACCCAGCACTGCCAGCAACTCTTCCTCGGTGAGCTTTCCGTCGTTGTTCTTGTCGAACTTCTTGAAAGTCGTCTTCAGGCCTCTGATCACATCTGCGCCTAGGCCGAGGGGTTTCAGCGAGCTCGGAGAAAAGGACCAGTAGCCCTTCTTGAAGTTTGCATACACTTTCATGCCGTTGTTTTCGTCGTCGTCCTGATACCTGATGCACGTCACCTGCCCGATATCGCCCTCGGGTATGTCCTCATCGGATTTCTCCCACTGGACCCACTGACCCTTTTGGACCGGGCACAGCGAAAGCTCCTTAGGCTTGATCGTCCAGCCGCCTTTTGGCCTCAGTTGGCCCATTGACCACGGGAAGAAAAGGTCAAACGATGAATTCCCCACCTTT